AGAGAGAGAGGGGGGCGGACGGAGAGGGAAAGAGAGGGAAAGAGAGGGAAAGAGAGAGGGATAGAAGGTTGTTCCGCTCTCAGCTTGCAGTGAACGGGAGAGGGGTTTATATCTCTCACGAGTTGGGCCCCGTCTTCATGTTTATAATAATATTATAATCTCTCGCCTCGAGTGTGCACACGGCCAGCAAGTTCTGCTTCACCTAACACTTTTCGATCCCTTTTCCCGTATCGGACATAAGAACAGACATGCAAATTGAAAAGCGTATATTACTGGAGTTTTATTTCAAAAGACAGTATAGTATCCAGTTACGTAAAATGTTGAGGAGTCAAAAATAGAAAACCAAACTCGTTTGCCTCTCAAGAGCCTACAGTTGCTTTGAATTTCTTCTAAACATTTTCCCTGCCTTATTTATTAAGATATCGATGCCATACTAAGGCAAAAATTAATGTGCGCCATCTTTTAGGCAATCAGGTGGAATCAATAACTCAATTCTTTCCAAAACAGCATATATACTGTCTTTTAAAATAAAAGTCCAGATTTTCTGCAAATAGACCTAGATCTAGATCTACGGTTCCAGACCTATTCATTAAAGGTGCTTTCAAAATGCCAGTAAATCACAATTTTAGGGGGTTGGTATCTAAAAAGATACAGTATCATAATTTATCCTCCGATGTCAAAAGTAGGCCTACCAGTTGGTACCAGTTCGCATAAAAGCTGTCAAAATCAGCCAGGCCAAATCCGTTATGAATAAATATCTTCTTCGTTCACCATAAACGGTAAATACGCAAAGAATGACCCGTGCTAGGTCCCCCCCCGAGATTCGGCAGTCAGTTTTGAACTCCCGGAACAATTCATTTAACGTCTTTTATTTTCTTCAGTCCCTGTCTTAAAAAGAAGGATTATCCTACAATTTCCCTGGGGTTGGGAGAGAATAATAATAATATGGTCGTACCGGATACGGAGATTTGTGCCGGACTTCATCGATGATAACGAATTACCTTACCGTCAACAACTAAATTGATGTGTGGGAGAAAGAGAGAGGGGGGGGGATAAAGGAGCGAGCGAGAGAAAGAGAGAGAGAGAGAGAGAGAGAGAGAGAGAGAGAGAGAGAGAGAGAGAGAGAGAAC